CAGGAGAAGGTGCTCGCGGCGTTCCCGCAAAACCAGGCAGCCCGGGTTGTGCTCGGGCTGCAGGAGGGAAAGGCTGCCGCTACTGTGCGTGCAGGTCTGCTTTAGACAAAGAAGGTTACGTGTGAGCAACAGTGAATGAACTCGAGAGAGAGCTTGGTATTAGGCGGCGAGGGAGCAGGAGGCTGCCCTCGCTCTCCACAGCCTTGGCTGACGCAGGGCAGGTTCAGGAGCCAGCTCGCGCACCAGCCGTCCTGCCACGGCTCTCAAAAGCTGAACTGTCGTATTCGTAACGCGTCCCTGCAGGCGTCTGTCACACTGCGCATGGGGCTCTTGAGCCACGTCCTCTAAGCCCGTGTTCAGCTCACGGTACCAGAAGTCAGTGCGTTTCTCGTTTCAGAAGATGATTCTGCAGCGACGCGCTGCCTGCCCCGCGCTGCGAGGCGATGCCCTGGAAAGCCGCCGTGCGGCAGGACGATATTCCCTGACGATATTGCCTCTGCATATCCGCAGTCAAGCGTCTTTCATTTCTCCCTGTTATTTATCATTTAAGATTCCCATGCAAGCAAAGAGGAACTGAAGAAGTTCAGAGCGAATTCAGACCCTCGCATGGAGCTGCCAGCATTGCACGGCTGTGCGGTGGTGTGAAGGCGACGTGCCGGTAAGGGCAGCGACTTCTGTGACTCCCAACGACAGAGCAGCAAACCGGTCAAAGCAAAGTCACCCGCCAGTCACCCCCCCTCAGCTCAGCCGACATCTCTTCATCAGTGCTGTGCCAGAGGGCATCACGCACAAATCCTTCGAAAGAGCCACAACAACCTCAACAAGAGGGAACCGGAGGTTGCTCTTTTATTTGTGGAAAGGCTGGTGACATGGTTTGGATACTGAGCATGGGAGTTTGTTGACTGGATAAATTACAAACTGGAACAGTCTCCAAGACTTCTCCGAGACTGTCCTAGGAATGGGGATTACTCTAAGACCAGTCAGCCTATGAGAGTCTTTTGAGGCCGCTGTGTCTGGACATTAAGTAATGAGTCCCCTGCACCATGCACCGTTTTTCAGAGTCAGTGTTCAGATTTAGGCCTGCACAACAAGATTTTTGCAGTTTCTTTGCCTGAACAGAGAGAGGGGCCCTGTCCACATTTCTGGTCCAGGGCAGTTTGCCCTCTTGGGGAAGAGCACCTGCGTGCAGCACCAGCACGCCAGGACGCGCGGGCTCATCGGTGCTTGCCTTCACCGCCAGGAAATCTGAAGCACTAAGGGAGTGGGGAAGAGGAATGCGAATGTGACTTTGCACAGGTCATACAGTCAGAACAGCCTTTGTACTTCAAAACGATTGCATGCCCCCACTCTTAAGATATCACTGAGAAGAGTTCATTGACCTCAGTGGTAGGTAGCCAGATTAGCAGTGTGGGTTCACTTTGCTCCTTCATTTATGGTTCAATTGATCCATTAGCCCTATCTGGACTTCAAAGACCTTCTTGCGTGCTCCCTGGAAAAGCTCCTTCTTTATGGCTTTCTCCGCTTTGCCTGACTGCGCTGCTCAGTCCACATGCCTAAAGGAATATTTATATCTGGTTGCGTTGTATAGCATTTGCTTGCGTTATTCCTGGCTCTAGAACAGTGCTGTAAGCTCAGTATTTCTATTTTCTTCCATCACCCCAAAGGAAGATTTTCCTCCCTGTACTGACAAGATTCATTATCAGCTTCTTGGAAGCAGGAAACTTAGAAAAATGCAGTAACTTTTGCATTTTATCAGTTAAGCATTCAGAAAACATTTCAGAATATATAACTGTTTTTAAAGCATTCCTCCCATTTTGTGTACCCCAGTTTCATTTTATTCTAGAAATCACAGGCTCTCACTTTTGGTATTTGCAAGTAGCCCCTGGCAAGACTTGAGGAAACAATCAGGACAGCATGGTCAACTGTCACTCGGAGCCTAAACTTTCTCCATGTGCAGCTGAAAGGGGACTGGATGCTGAACAGCCATTGCGCTGTCTGAGGCCACCAAAGCTCTCGCGCAACCAGTTGGTCTTTGGCAGGTGGAGACGGCTGCCCTTGGGGCTCGCAACTTAGGACCTGACATCAGCCAAGATCAAATGACACAGGTGAACAAAACAGGGGAGGTGGAGGGACGGCAGAAGGCAAAGTACAAGGACGAGATCTCCATGACTTAGAGCACAAAAGCAGCAAGGCAGATTTATCCCTTGTATAACTCTGTTGCCATCAAGGAGTTACTAGGGGGAGGTGTTTTAACCTGCATGTAGAAGGGCCCAAAACGCCGGTGGTCACTGCACACAGCTTCACTGAGAGAGTGAGCCCAGAACCCAGGTGGGCTTTAAAGCAGACAGAGTAGACTACGGGGGGGGGGAATTCTTCCTATCACCATGACCATGCTGGGAAATCCTGTCTATCCTCACTGCTGTACTGGGACTTCTGCTGGAGATGGGCAGCAGCTGACCTGTGCGTTTCTCTCTCCTTGGTGACCCTGGCAACACAGGAGCACAAGACAAGGGCTCAAAACATCGTTCCAGCGTGCTTTTGAAGGTGTCCTTGCAAGAGCACACAGTGGGTGAGCTGTGGGCAAGCGGTGCCTTATTCAAACAAGCAGAGAATTGGCTTGAGACTCTCTTACGTGGAGCTCTTGAGCTGCAGGCATCATAAAAAAATAAAGAAATAAAAGACACTCTGTTTGCCTTGGCCCACGCACAGCAGCCCTACCTCGAGATCCTGCCAGGGAGATGCATGTCAAGAAAGGCGCTAGTAGGGATCCCGGTTTCAGGTCTCTCTATCAAGATTAGTGCTCCGTAGATTTAGCTCTTGGTTATGGACGGTCGCTTTGCTCTGTTCATACTCGAACAGAAGCCGTGCGAGGAATTTATTGTGCTGGCAGTGGGAGGTTTGCTCTTTACAAAAAAGCGAGAAGGTGGAGGTGGGAGCCCGGAAGGCAGGCAAAAAGCGCAGCGTCCCGCGGAGAGAACGCAGCGCGCCGGCGCAGCTTCGGGCAGGCGGCGAGGAGGATCCGTTTCGTTCTGGCGGCGCGCAGAAGCCCAGCCAGGTGGATGTGGTAAGCTGCAGTTTACAGAGAGAAGGAAGTGGTTGGCAGCGCAGCGTAAACAGGCCGTGTTCTGCAGGCGTAACGCTGCCAGCCCACGCTGCAGCAGGGAAAGCAGCGCAGCACCTGCAGGAGCGGCCGCCCGGGCGGCAGCAGCAGCGCACCGAGGGCGAGGAGGAAGCTGCTGCTACCGAGTTTGCTAACTGGGGTGCAAAAGGCTCTCTTCGGCGAGCGTACCCAATAAATCAGAAGACGGATGTCCTTTGCCTGTGTCAGCACAGACACGGAAGGAGTTTTGGGGCAGACCTGCATTTTCACTGCTGGCACTTAGGATCTCCTGCAGGCTGGGAGAGCAGAAGGGGAAAGGGGCTGCGCCAGCTCAGCCCTCGGGGACGGCGCGTTGCAAGCTCTGCGTCACGGTGCCCTTTGGAGCAACTAGAGGGCAGGTTTACTCAGGAAACTCAAACACGGGAGAGGGGGCTGGCTCGTTCCCCAAAGCCAATGGGTCCCGCTGACAGGGTGCGTCGGACTGGTTTGACCAGCTACTTTCACCTTTTTTGAGCACTGCGGTAACTTGGCTTGTATTACGATGATTGACGTCTGACACCCATCGCACCAAGCAGCCACCTCTGCGTGGTGTAACCCCCCAGCAGACCACAGCACAGACACAAACAGGCTTCCAGATACAGCCGGTTCTTCACGAGGAAGAAAAAACAGTCCCACAAACTGGAACCCTCCTCCTATCTCTCACCTGGAAATGGAACATCAGGAAGGGGACAGGAAGGGGACAGGAAGGGGACAGGAAGGGGACAGGAAGGCAAGCAGGCGACAACAGGACACAGATGGGGTTGTGAACAGGCGTGCTGCACAGGCGTGTGTCAGTCAACAGCCACCTCCTTCCAAATCCTGTCTGCACGCCCAGAGGCCAGGGTCTTACGCGTTAGACAGATTCCTGACACAGCTACAACACGTGGCAAGCGTAACTGCTGATTTTACTGGAGCATTTGAAATGGCAAAAACATAGTACAACATTAACTGTATTTAAGGCATGAGTCAATTTATCTCCTGGGCAGTCCAGTCGCCCCAGGGCTGGCCAGCACAGCTCCCTCTGCCAGCCACCCCAGCCCTGCCACAGCAAGAGCGCCTCGCTGAAACGCCTTCCACTCCGCTCCCAAAGGAGCTCCAGAGAAGGGCCGGAGCGCCAACATGGCTTGAGAAGAGGAAACTGTGGTTAGCAGAGGTTTCAATTAAAAAAGCAGCTTTTCTTTACTGTGCAGGCTATTCTTTGCAGATTATGGCCTGAGTCTCCGGTTGCTTGAGGACCTTTATTCATGGGACTAACCCCATCCTTCCCAGCAGCTGAGAGCTCACGATAACCTGCACAGTCTCCCTTTGCTCCATCAGATAACGCAGCAACCTCTAGCGGCCAGGTGCTCTAACACAGTCCTGGGCAAGGTCACCCGTCCAAGGGCCAATTTTTGATCTTTCTTTTTTTATTGAAAGAGCAAAAAGCTTTCTATTGGGCTTGTTGCAATGTGAAAGCCATTTTCTACACCTGGTCTTCGTTTGTTTTCAGACAGATCTGTTCTGTCATACTTTCAGGAAACCTTTGCCCCCTTCTTTGTTGCTGTGACCTGGAAAACTCAAAACAGGGACAACACCGAGGCATTTCTGACTAGCTCCAGTTCCCTCATGGACTGAATTGCCTCAGTCCTCAAGCAGATTCACTGGTGCTGGAGCAAGAAAGAAAAGCCTACGCTGCTACAGCTCTCATATCTGCAGCGGACAAGAGGGGAAGCAGCTCTCTCTAGTCTTTGTTTAAGATGTAGTTGCCTTTCCTTTTGCAGAGTGGTGTTTTTATATGATTTTAACAGAAATGCTGAAATGTGACAAAAAGCCTGCACAAAGTAAGCCATTTTATTTCAAGCGTAACCCCCTAATTCTGGCCAGTCTGCTTTAGGAGCTGATGCTTGAAATGCTCCATCAGTTCAGGCGCAATTTCATCAGTGGTAAAGTTCTTGGCTTTCAAGATGCCCTCATGCGCTTCCTGGAAGAGCTTCTTCCCCACCGCTTCTTCCACCCGACTGCGCCACTCTGCTAATTTTGGCCTCTCCTCAAAGAGGTTGTAGCCAGCACCTACAGGCTGCAGAGAGAGAGCAGCAGACCCTGAGAGCAAGGTTTTCACACCAACAGTCAAACAAAGCATTTGCAGGATGCAGCCAGAACAAAGCACGGATATGTTTCTGGTTCAAGGCAGGAGACGGTCATCACATTTGGTGGAGTTCATCTCTGGCTAATAGGACGAGGAAGCGAGTGCTGTCGTCCTTAGTAGCTGCTGTCCCCTGGGACTCACAGCAGAAGAGCACTCCCATGGCTAAGCCAAGAAGTGTCCTGATAGGCAGCACAGAGGTCCATGCGGACCAATCCATCTCTCCCAAATATCTGTACTTTCAGTAGTTCATTTTATGAAACTGATTGCGGTAGAGTTTCAAATAATCAAATAGATTTATTCTCACCTAAAATATTCTCGCCCTATTCCTAGGCAGCTGTGGCAGTGCATCAGTGCTTCAGTCTAGGAATGGGGATGAGAAGCTCCTGCTCTGCCATTCAAAATACAAAGCAGTATCTATATATTCGGCGCCCTCAGACACATGCAGAGTCCAGATTCCCTCCTGAATTCCTGCTCAAAGGCGGGGAGCTTTTCTCCCAGTCTCTCCCTCCTCCCCCTCTGCCTAGTTTGTCATTTATCTTTTTTTTTTTCTAGAAGAAATGCCAAACCCAGGAATTTTGTCTGTAGTTCTATAAAGAGAAGTGTCTCATCACAGTAGAAGTTCCCCGGCAAACAAACTCAGTTATGGTCAAAGTCAAAAAGGAACAAGTTTAAACTCCATTAAAGAGTAAACGGCTGAGGGAAAGACTTGTTGTTTAAGAAACGGTGGTGCTGCAGCTACACCTTGGCCTGGCCTGCCCACAGCCCAGCTTGCATTGGGATTGGTGCTCACCTGCATGAGCTCCACCAGTGCTACAAGGTCTGCCAGGGAGACCTCGCTGCCTGCGATGAAGGGCTTGTCCTGCAAGAACTTCTCCTCAAACTGCTTCAGGACAACATTCAGCTCTTCAGTAACCTCTTCCAGTTTCTCTGGAGGAAGGGGCTGGCCTGTAAGGAGAGGCAGCAGCACCTACCAGGGAGAAAAAAAATGCTGCTTTTTATATGTTTTGCTCCGAACTTAGTTCAGCCCTCCCACTGGCTTCTAAGCCCTCCCACTGTCCTCACCAGCCATGCATGAGAATAACTGGTACCGCTCATCTTCTTTGACAGGTTAACGTGATGTCAGTCATTAAACCCTCTGTGTCCTTTTCTGCTCCCTAGAAAGTCTGAAATTTCAATCACAAGAGTCCCCTGTCAAGGCAACATGCCTCTCCAAGAAGCTGCACTTTGTTTTCCCATGGGAGCTGCTTCCTTTCCACGCAGAGCATCAGCCGGGCAGAAGGCAGTGAGCTGTGTCAGGCGCTCACTGCTCACCCAGGCCGAACCTAGTGCGCGTGTGCTGCTCTGGACTGCATCTAGAAGGGACCACAACCCCACGGGTCTCAGCGCCTGCGCAGGAGAACTGCGACTACAGCATGAAGGATTCGTGCAGTTGGAGTAGACAAGGCCATTTCAGTTAGGCAGAGAAATGGCTCTGCTGATCACCTGAGTCATTTCCCAACCTAGTTTTGTTCCTATCCGTCAGCTGGCTCGCTCATTCGAGTAGAAGGGTTCTGCACACGGGAGGTTACTTCCTGGGCCATAGCACTCACAGCTGTTAACATTTAATCGTTGCTATAAAAGAGTCTTACCTTAGTTAAGAACAGCTTGCTCCCCTTCCCACGAATGTTGACGTGCTGCCACGACAGGTACTCATCAACCTTGGCCCGTTTCTGCAGGTCAGATGGGTACCAGTGATCGGGTGTCTTGAATTTCCGGGTCAGGTAGAGGAGGATCGCAACGCTACCCACAAAGTAAGAGACCAGTGAGTGGATGATACGAGATTAAAGCACCTTGTCCTTTCTCCATCCACCCAAATCTTGCATTGCTGGACCAGCAGCAAAATGGACCTGATCCAGATCACGTACAAGTGCAGGATGCACAACTACCCGCCAGTCACAGCGCACGACAGTTTGTGCCGGCTTGACTCCTGAAACACCGCGCAGGGACAAGCTAGCTCCAAGAAGCAGCTCACTGTTTTCACGGTCCGCGCCGCGTGAGTTGCTTATAAGCTTCTCTCGTAAAAGGGAATAGAGAGACAGGAAAGAGGCAAACAACCAGCTGGGTGGGAGTCCCGGTAAAGATACCCAACAGTACACTGGCAGAATCCAAGCGTTAGGATAAATAATACTTCAACAGAGGTTTGAGCTTATTTGAGCCTCACCTCTCTGCTAAGGTGAAAGAACCGTCTCTTAACGCTGGCACTTTCATCAGCGCGTTCACCTTCCGGAAATCCTCCATCCTGTGCTGCCCTGAGGAGGGAAACGAGGCAGTGCTGCTCGGTACCTGTCTGGAGACGCTCGAGGAGTCCGTGGGACCCGAGTTCCCAGCCTTGACTGCACAAATACCGTCCTGTTTAAATTCACAAGCAATCGAGAGGTGCCACAAGGTGACTACTGGGTTTGCTCAGTGATGTCAACTTACTTGCTTGTCACCTGCGTACCAGACAAGCCTCTCGCCAAGGTCAGAGTGGGTCAGGCTCCGTTCATACCAACGGCATTTGTCACCTCGGGGCTGCAACAGCACTAAGCTTGTGCTTGGAGGTACCTGTCAGGGCACTTGTGCTGTACTGACCTAGAATGAATGCTGAGCTCCTTGGAGGGGGGGGATATTAATATCAGAAACAAGGTGGGTTAACTGTAAGGACAGCGAGAAAGCAAAAGATTTAAAGGATTTTTTGTTTTGATGGAAAAAAAAGTAATTTATATTCAAGTCTCTTTTTAGTCCTTAGGTGAAGATGGTGAGTAGTTTAGGACAAACCTACGAATCTAGCTCTATGTGCAGGTTTTACATATGCATATTGTATATTAGAGGAAATATGGATTTGAGTTGACTTTTAAGCTAGCTTTTATGCCCCCAAAACAAGGAAGGTAGAGAGCGAACCCGACAGGAGAAGGCATTTTGGTCATGTGGCGTCGCAGCATGCTCCAGTATTGCTCCAGGTTGGGCCCAACCTCACAAACCCCGTTTTGTATGAGCAGTTTGTGCCAGCCTTTTCCAGCTCCTGGCTTCAGGGGTATACGTGTGCATCCTTGCATTCGGGTCCCTCTGCCACCTAGCCCTGTGACATGCCTTGCTGAGTCACCTGAGAATCTTTATGCCAGAGGACAGACTCTGGACATGGCTTGTTCTGCCAGTACTTGGCAGCTATTCCCTTTTACGTGTGACTCGCGGCTCCCTCTCCTCCCCTTCCAAAAAGGCGCTGTGATTTCCTGCACGCACTGTCTGCAGGATTCCAAGTCCTCAGGTGCCTCCAGAGGGTTGTGTGCTCTCTGTCCCCTTCTCACCCTTTCTATTGCATTTCTTTGAGGCCTACGCTATTGGGGACCCAAGAGCATTTCAGAAGGGACTTGTTCAACCAGCCTCCAGCACAAATCAAGGTATATGTTCCCTTACTTGGCCCTTACGTATTGCAGAGCGCCATGCACTACTGCTGCAAGGCCATCCTCTGTTATACCCTGGTAAGCGCTGATTTGGGGGCCTGCATGCGCGTATGTGTCTGTCTAGCACCTAGATCCTGAGTTAATTCAAATACAGTTACTGGGAGTGCTTCCCTAGGAGCGGGAGGCGTACGCAAGCTACAGGAATAGGATGCACCTTTAACATGCCTGTTAGCCAAATTACCTGTCTTAAATCCACTGACCAAATCCTAGCGTGCTGGTGAAAGCAAACGCTGCTGCTGTAGGGCATAAAGCACTGAGAAATTGTGATTGAATTCACTTTTCTTCCAGTCTGTTCCCTGCTAGCCATTTCAATTTTTCCATTCTCCTTGGTGCTCTCCTCGTTTGCCTACGAGTCCCTCCTGCGTGCTGTTACCAGTGTCTCATCACAAGTGCTTCCTGGGAAGGAAGGGAGATGGGCTCACCCCTAGCTAGCTCTCCTGGTACCAAGGGCTACAGTACCCCCGTAGCAAACGTTTATTCCTCCCAAGACAGGTCAGGGAGAGGAAAGAGGCAGCAGTGTGCAATCAATGAACAGCTCAGGCATGAAGGGGAACACCCAGAGCCTAAACCACACGTCTGAGGTTTTAAAGCAGCAAGTTGGAGCCTCTTTTATCAGTCTGAGCCCCAGAAGCCTTCTCATCTTTCACTGTTTTAAAAACACCTGCGCAAGTAAAGCTTAAGTGCCATATATTATCTTAATGTCAAATCCTGCAGAGTCCTGGAAAGGTCAGAGGATAATTTTTGCCATTTTTAGTTGCAAATAAAGGAGATTCAGATGTTTAATCCTTGAAGTGGGAACACACGATACCTCTTGGGCAGAGGCCTACCAGTTATCAGGTGGCTTTGAAACAAACTGAAACACCTTCCCCTTCCCGATCTCTCAGCTTTCAGGCTCCCGGCTGCCGCGCTGCGCTCCCTGCGCGGGCTGTTCCTCGGCCCCGGCGAGCTGACTGCGCCACAAACCGCTCGGCCTGAGGAAGCGCTCGGTCAGGTGGCCGGCGGTCCTGCCCCACGCAGGTGCTCCCCGGTGAGCTCCGTTCCCCAGGCCCTTTCACAGGCGGCTGTTAACTTTACGTTGAAAGGAGAAAAGCTGCTCTCCAGTAACAGCTGCCTGCTGCTTACTAGAGCGCCGCGTTTTCTAAGGAAGTTGAACTGAAGAGCCCACACATCTTGGTTGTCCTCTCGCATACACCAACTTCCTGGCTCCTACTGCTTTTTGCTTCCCTCCTCAGTCGGGCACGGACACGGTTCCAGCACATGCTGAAGGAGCCTTTCCTCTCAGTGAAGTGGTCTTCTTTCTGAGACCCGTTTGCTGCTGAAGTTGGGCTGATTTAAAGGATATCATAGACCTTTGCAGAGCTGTATTTGTTACAGAGGAGTGCAGGCACTGAGACTGCTGTTTGAAAGCCAGGGCTTTTTTTTTTTTTTCAAGACAATCAGGTCTGGTTTTTGTGTTGACACCAGTGAGCTCCACCAGCTGGCGGACTGACACCCCCCCCTCTTGCTCCAGCCTGTATTTATCAGAATTAGTGAGTAACCCAGTCCCACCCATCAGCAGCCTGCAGGAGCCAGCGCCAAGCTGTTATTTAACAGCTTTTGCTGCAGGCAAGGAAAGCCCGGGGTCCCCTCGGTTGAGGACGGGCTCCCTCGTCGGGCCGGGGGCGCTGCCCCGCGGG